TAGTAGTAGTAGTAGTAGTAGTAGTAGATAGTAGTAGTAGTAGTAGTAGTAGTAGTAGTAGTAGTAGTAGTAGTAGTAGTAGTAGTAGTAGTAGTCGCAGTAGTAGTCGTCGTCGTCGTCGTCGTCGTCGTCGTCGTCGCTTTGTAGCAGTAGTAGGAATACTAGTAGTAGTCGTAGTAGTACTAGTAGTCGCAGTAGTAGTAGTAGTAGTAGTAGTAGTAGTAGTAGTAGTAGTAGTAGTAGTCGTACATTTTTCTCCTTGCCCTTCACCCTGTCAATACTTGTCCTTTCCCGATTGTTCCCTCCTGCCTCCTCCCTCCGTTCTCTTCCCTCCTGCATGCTCCCTCCTGCTACACCTCCTCATCCTTCTCTTCTGTCATTTTCTCTTGTCCTCCGTGCTCCGTCCTCCTGCCCTCATCTTCCCCGTCTTTTCTCCCTCTGCCCTCCTCCCTCCTCCCTCTGATTCCTCGTCTCGTTCCTCGTCCTCCTTCCTCCGTCTCGTCATCATCGCCGTCGTCGCCGTCCTGCTGCTCCTCCTCCTCCTGCTCCTTCTCCCCTCCTTCGCGAAGTTTTTGGGAACTTACGAGTCGGAGCAGAAAGCATCGAAAACCAGTTTACACTTCCCCAAGCACTCGACATCACCAGGCGACTTCACACAACATCCGAACACACATTCAGACATAACTCCTCGCGCCTTCCTCCTCCCCCTCTCGCACCCCTTTTCCCCCTCTCGCCTCCCTCCTCCCCTCTCGCCCCCCCCCCCCCTCGCCCCCCTCCTCCCCCTCTCGCCCCCCTCTCGCCCCCCTCTCGCCCCCCTCCTCCCCCCTCCTCGTCCTTTCTCGTCCTCGCCCTCCTCCCGCGGAGGCGTACGACCAGCAGAGGGCGCACAAGGGCTCCCTCGAGTCCATGGCCTCGGGGGACGGGGTCGGGGCTGGCGCGTGCTCGTGGCTGCTGCTCCTTCTCTTCTCCGGGAGGAGGCGGAGGGAGGATAGTTGAGGGAGGATCAAGGACGGAGGGAGGCGGGAGAAGGGGGCTCATACCGATGTGAGAGAGGGGAGGGTGAGGGAGGGAGGGGGGGTAGAGAGGGAGGAGGGGAGAGAGAGAGAGAGAGATAATGGGAGAGAGAGAGAGAGAGAGAGGAAGAGATAGAGAGAGAGAGAGAGAGAGAACATGAAAGAGAGAAAGGGAGAGAGAGAGAGAGAGAGAGACAGGAGAGAGAGAGAGACAAAAGGAGGAGGAGGAGGAGGAGGAGGAGGAGGAGGAGGAGGAGGAGGAGGAGGAGGAGGAGGAGGAGGAGGAGAAGGAGAGCCTGGAGCCCGCTAGAATCTGTCAGAACCTTCTGACCCCCCCCGAGCCTCCTATCCAGACCTCCGATGGCCTGTTTTTTTCGAGTCGCTGGCCCCGTTCTTGGACCCCTCTTCCCTGGGGCTGTGGTGGCTTCTCGTGGGTTATTTTTGGTGGATCTCCCCGGAAAGGTTCCCTGGACGAGGAACATGTCGGGGGCGCCCAAGGGGGGGGGAGGACTGGGGGGACGGTGGTGGACACCATGGCCGGGGCCAGGGCCACGATACCCTCGCGGGGCTTCCTGGCCCCCCTCCGCTTTCTTGTTGACGCCCGAGGTGGGTACAATGCCCAACAGCCAAAGTTGTCCAAAACCGACAGCGGCCGCTGTCGGCCAAGCGGCTCTGTGTCTTCGATGCACAACGCCCGCGGCGGCGTGGACAGCGAGCCCGGTTCGCAATGAACAGACACTGCGTTCGGCCTCTGCGCCCCCTCTTTCCGCACCCATCCCGTTCGTCCCGATCTTCCCCCCCCTCCCTTGGCTCCCCCTCGCCCGCGCACGTGCCTCCGTCGCCATGATCTGCTGTCAACCAGTTGGGTGCTTCGTCGTGTGGGCCCTCCGCGGAACGCAGCCGTCCAGCTTCGCGGCACAAAAGCCGCGGGACGCCGCTGGAGACCGCCGGGAGCCGCCGAAGACCGCCGGAGACCCTCAGAAGACCACCGAGGGCCGCCGAAGACCGTGCGAGCACCGTCGAAGACCGCCGAGGACGGCCCAGGACCGAGGGGCATCAAGGGGTCCACGGTGGAGCACGTAGAACTGGGAGCCAGCGAGCCGCGTCCAGCAGCAGAGCCAACGTTGCCTGGAGTGCACCGTCATGTGCCAGAAGTGAGGGCGCTCGGGCGCCACCTCGTCACCGTTCGCGCCGCTCGTTTGTTCCCTCCCTCGCCCGCGGCGCGCCTCTCGGATGCCCCCCCGAAGCACAGCGAACGACGTCGGTGCGGTTCCCTCGAGTCGCCCGGTGGTGTGTGTGGGCCTTTGGCCTCCTCCTCTCCTCATGTGCACCGCGGCCCAATTTGCATCTAGCGTGAACCGCGCCTGGGCGTCGCACTCCGCCTTGTCGACGTGTAACGCCACCTCCTCCCTCATGGCTCTCAGAGCCCTCTCCTGCTTCTGCTCCTCGGTCAGAGGTACGCCGTCCTCGTCGTCGTCGGCGCTCGCGAAGACGGCCACGAACGCACAACCGCATATGGTTGGGTCCTTCCTTAGGCAAATTTTTATTTTTCGTCCCAAATCCGCCTGTAGTGGGACATGCCCGACCTAACTCAATGGACGGGGGTTAATGTAAACGGGGGTCAGCCAGAGCGCCGGATCTTGCAGGATCCCGCGGAGCCAGGGGTGCACTGACCCAGGCTCGTGTGCAGGATTTCGCAGCGCCCTGCAGGCTCCCGCGAGGCCTGATTTTCAACCGGGGGTTTGCATTGATGCGGGCCGGTGCGTCCCCGGCGAAGAGCAGAAAGCGACATAAACCTTTCGATGTTTGGGCTTCTTGCGGACTTTGGGATCTGCGCTGGACCCCCTTGGCGGCGCCTCTGGCGAGCTCCGCGCGGCTGGAAAGGGCACCCAACGCCGTTTTGGAATTTTGTGGTACCGCCGATTTTTGTCCAAGCCGTCCTGTAGTGTTGGGACCTACTCTTGCCTTAGCAGTGCCCCTCGTTCCTCCTCCTTCCTCTTCTTCTTCCTCCTCCTCCTCCTCCTCCTCCTCCTCCTCCCCATCATCATCATAATTTCGGCACGCCCTTCGCACGTTTCGTGGCCCCAAAGGGGGCCCCACCGAAGGCCTGAACTGCAGGGTTCGCATGGCGGCCCCGCACTCATTTCGGCGCACCCGTCGCAAGTTTCGTGAGCCCACAGGGAGCCCCACCAAAGGCCCCAGCGGCAGGATTCGCATGGCGGCCCTGGACTCATTTCGGCGCACCCTTCGCAAGTTTCGTGACCCCACAGGGAGCCCCACAGAAGGCCCTAGCGGCAGGGTTCGCATGGCGGCCCCGCATTAATTTCGGCACACCTCTCACAAGATGCGTGGCCCCACAGGGAGCCCCATGGAAGGCCCCAGCGGCAGGGTTCGCATGGCGGCCCCGCACTCATTTCGGCATGACGGCTCACATTTTTCGTGGCCCCATAGGCTCCAGCGGCAGGGTTCGCATGGCGGCCACGCGCCCACGTCGGCGCACCCGTCACAAGTTCCGTGGCCCATAGGGAATCATGGGCGGGGTGCAATCATGTCGGCGCACTCTCATTTGTTTCGTGGCCTCGGAAGCCCCAGCGGCAGGGTCCGCACGATTGCCCCGCACCTATTTCGGAATACCCCGCACACGTTTTGTGGTCCCAGAGGGAGCTCCATCGAAGGCCTCAGCGGCAGGGTTCGCATGGTGGCCCCGCACCAATTTCGACACCCTTGGCGGCCCCGCACCCATCACGGCACACTCCTCACACGTTTCGTGGCCCCACAGGGAGCCCCAAGGAAGGCCCCAGCGGCAGGGTTCGCATGGCGGCCCCGCACTCATTTCGGCACACCCTCAAACGTTCTCGTGGCCCCATAGGGAGCGCCACCCCTCACACGTTTTGTGGCTCCATAGGGAGCTCCCTCGATGGCCCCAGCGGCAGTGTCGCATGGCGGCCCCGCGCCAACGTCAGCACACCCTCACACGTTTCGTGGCCCCACAGGGAGTCCAATGGAAGGCCCCAGCGGCAGGGTTCGCAGGGCGGGCCCGCGCCCATGTCGGCACACCCCTCGCACGTTTCGTGGCCCCACAGGGTGCCCCACAGAAGGCCCCAGCGGCAGGGTTTGCATGGCGGGCCCGCACCCATTTCGGCGCATTCTCACATGTTCCGTGGCCCCCTGGGGAGCCCCACAGAAGGCCCCAGCGGCAGGGTTCGCATGGCGGGCCCGCACCAATTTTGACACGCTCTGACACGTTTTCGTGGCCCCCTGGGCTTCGTCCGCACTGCCTTGCACCCGCATATTGTTGGGCCCTTCGCCTGGACCTTTGATTACCCCAAACCTCGGTCATCGGGGCCTCCTGCTTCCTTCTCCGCCGCTTCGGAGCCGTGCCCCGGGATCTCGAGGACCTGAGGAGTGGCGAATCGTGGCCCAGGGCAGGGCTCCATCAGCAGCGGATGTGGACGTTTCCTTCCAGCGCTCTCTTATCAGAGGTTACCAGGGGTGATCCTGGCTCAAGGTAGCCCCTGGGGCCCTCTGGGCCTTGCGAGGGCTCATCTGGAGGCCATCGGGGCCTCCCTGGATAAGCTGGGACCGCCCGAAGCCAGGGCCACCTGGCAGCAGCAGTTCCTGCCTCCTCCTCCTCTTCCTCCTGAACCCTCCCTCCTCCTCCTGCTCCTCCTCCTCCTCCTATTCCTCCTCCTCCTCCTCCTCCTCCTCTTTCATCTTTCTTCATCTGCCTCCTCCTCCTCCTCCCTGGCCTCCTCTGATTCTCCTTCGGGTTGGCATTGTAAAGACAGCATGCGATGAGGCGCCGCCGGCCCGCTTACTGCTACACGCTATCCACCCCCTTGGGGATCGCGTGCACCGAGGAAGACTTGGCAGGGGGACCGCGCTCGCAGAAGGGGCCCTCGCGGGGGCCAGCCGTAATCTTCCGCCTCCGCACCTGGAGCCGTCGCGGCTCCGTGGCCAGTCGCCATGCCGGCGTCAGGCTGGGAGGATGCCGCCGCCGCGCGGGGGATGGCGGAGCCCCAGCCGCTCCGAGCGGCGCAGGAGGCGCGGAGGATGGAGGAGGCAAGAAAGAGGGCAGGAGGTGCAGGAGGAGGAGGAGGAGGAGGAGGAGGAGGAGGAGGAGGAGGAGGAGGAGGAGGAGGAGGAGACGGAGGAGGCGCAGGAGGAGGAGGAGGAGCAGGAGGAGGAGGAGGACCAGTGTAAGGCCAAGACTCATCAATGGTTTTGGAAGAAGGACGAGGAGAAGGAGGAGGAGGGGGGGGAGGAGGAGGACGAGAAGGAGGAGGAGGAGGAGGAATAGGGGAGGAGGACGATGATGATGATGATGATGATGATGATGATGATGATGATGATGATGATGATGATGATGATGCTGATGATGATGATGATGATGATGATGGTGATGATGATGATGATGATGATGATGATGATGATGATACTGATGATGATAATGATGATAATGAGGATGCTGATCCTGCTGATGACGATGATGATGGTGCTGATGATGATCAGGAGGAGGAGAAGGAGGACCAGTGTGACCCCAAGACTCATCAATGATGTTGGAAAAGGAGTACTAGTAGTAGTAGTAGTAGTTGTAGTAGTAGTAGTAGGCGTAGTCGTAGTAGTCGTAGTAGTCGTAGTAGTAGTCGTAGTAGTCGTCGTAGTAGTAGTAGTAGTAGTAGTAGCAGCAGTAGTAGTAGTCGTCGTCGTAGTAGTAGTAGTAGTAATAGTAGTAGTAGCAGTCGTAGTGGTAGTCGTCGTAGTAGTAGTAGCAGTAGTAGTAGTAGTGGTAGTAGTAGTCGTAGTAGTAGTAGTAGTAGTAGTAGTAGTAGTAGTAGTAGTAGTAGTAATAGTAGTAGTAGTAGTAGTAGTAGTAGTAGTAGTAGTAGTAGTAGT